ATCATATGTAAGTAACCGAGTAAACTCATTAGAGGTATATTCTCCTATTAAATCACATCGAAAACATTTTACGACAACCGAATGTTGGGTCTTGACAAGGGCTCTGAAGTTGCTACATATTGTGAAAAAATAGATTTGCGCTTCATAAGATAAACCCATGTATAACTAGTGTAATCATCTATGGATGAAACATAGTAAGTGGTACAAGATCAAATGGAACTAAAGAATGAGTGACAACTTTATTATATGATAACGTAGAAATGTTTTCAGTGTACAACCATAACATTAAGAAATATCATGAATGTTCAAAAGACCTAAAAGACCAGTAGAGGCTAAATATTATAAATATGAAGCTGACACATGTCCTAAACGAGAATGTCAAAGATAAAAATCAGAAGGCAAATTACTTAAACGAAAAGACGACAAATCAACACAAGAGACATCAACATCAAAAACTTGGAGTTGCTCCAAAATGTAAAGCTACCTAAGTCTACATCCTATCCCAATCACTCTCCAAGACCGTTGGTCATGTACACAAAAAAGTGAATCAAAAAAGACCCAATAACCAGATTTACACAACTGACTAACCGTAACGATATTCAAAGAAAGTATGAAAATATAATAAACATCAATGAGGGATATATAAGGGGTAAGAACATAGCCAATACCCTCTACTAGCATAGGTATAACCTAAATAGAAGAACCATGTGATAATGAAAAAAGATAAAAAATAAGGTGACATGTGATGAGATGCACCAGAATCTAATATCCACAAGGATGAAGGATTACCTAAAGTACTAGATGAGGACAAATGTCCAGTGAGACATAAAAGCAGACATGATAACATGATTGGAGGCAATAAATTGTGCGAACTACTAACAAACCCGAGGACCCAAGTTAATCATGGTGTGATTTTCATACGAGCCTTTACAGAAGGTGCAATAGCAGCAACACTGAACTGCGGAGGACGAAATTGTGGAACTGAGGGGTGTGGTTTAGTCTAAACAGGAGGCATGTTTTGTTGTGGAGGCTGAAACTATCCAGGAGGCATGTTTTGCTGTTGTTGATTTCCCTTTCCAATCAATAATGGACACCAAGACTTCCAATGATTGTCTTCTTATAGAAGACACATTCATCAAATGTAACTTTTGGTCGTGGATGATTAGAAACCTGAGTTCTTTGTGGAACACCAAAAACAACATGAGTGGTGGCTATTTTAGACCCTTTATCAGCTTGAGATTTAATACGAGTTTCTTCAGCAACCAACTCATGAACAACAAAATCAACAATGGGAAGAGGAGAGCGATGAAGAATTGTTCTATGCAGGCCTTCAAAATCTGATCTTAATGCCATAAAAAATAAACTAACTGTTGGTCTTCTCTTCTTACAATGTAAGGCTTAGAGGCCCTCAGGTCAGCAGATTATGTGAGCACTAATAGACCCCACAAATCAGACATAGAAGCATAAAATCCTTACTAATCAGACTATTCTGTCGAAGAGCTCAAATATCAATTTCTAACTAACACTATTTTGCAAAGTTAGATTAAGTGTACAATCTATCCATGTGATTTCAAACCTCTTTTGTTGTGTCATACTTGCCAACTAGATGCCAATACATTGAATAACAGAATTGTTAATCCTGATAATAATCTTGGAATTATTATTTTCCTATGATTCCAATAAGGTTGCATAATTTTCATCCTTTTCATTTAATGGTTTGCCCTCTACAACTGCAACAGTCCCGCATACATTCTTAACCTTCAAAAAATTCTTCATAACATAACTCTAATAAGCATAGTTCTTGCCATCGAGTTGGACACCAATATAAAGAGAATCTTCATTTGGATCCATATTGTCAATAACAGTGTAACACCCAGAATCTAGAAGGTTAATTGTGGAATTATGCCAATTTCAAGTTGAACTCGGCGAGTTGGAGGAGCCAACTCGGCGAGTTGAAGATGAAGAATCGTGAGGATTTAATGGGTCTACTCGGCGAGTTGAGGAGCCTCAAATCAGCGAGTAGAGGTTGTTTTGGTCGCGTGGTTAATGAGACAACTCGGCGAGTTGGAGAAGCCAACTCGACGAGTTGGGCTCTGTTTAGGAAACCCTAATTTTAGGGTTTTACACCCTATTTAAACACCTTAAGTTCCATGTATTGGCCTCATTTCCAGCCTCCATAGCCCCTAACCCTAATCTCGAAACCCTAGAGCCTCCAAGAGTGTTGTGTGTGTTTGAAGCTCATTCAAGAAGAAGAAGCTTGGTACAATGTGGTGGTTCAAGAAATAGCTCATAGATCTTGATTCTCTGCTCCATTTCCAGCACATTTTGGGTATAAAGTTCTAACCTTGCTTAGTATTGGCTTTGATCTCTTCTTGGGTTTATTTGTATGCTTTTAGCCATGGATGGGTGATTGTTGAGGAAGTAGAAGTCCCAAGTATTTATCATTTCCAGATCTATGATCTTCATGAGCTCTTTTGGCATAAAGGTGCCAACTTTATGGTCCTAAGGGTTTCATGCATTCATTAAGTCCTTCTTTTGGTCTCTTTTAAGCTTTTGAGCTTCTTCTAATCATGAATAAGTGTAAAGTTGGAAACTTTACATGGCCATCTAGCCTCTTATGGTCAAATCTGCATCTTGGAGTTGTGTCCTTGTGGAATAAGTGCTTAATGATTATGTCCTTACCCTTTTAAGTTTAGGGTTTGGGTTTTGAACCCATTTTGGTGGTTCTTAGGGGTAGAGTTGGAAACTTTACACTTCTTGAGGCCATTTCAGTTAAGATCTTGGTTGAGAAGCCCTTAGTTTCGAAAGGGCCGACTTAATGAATTAAGAGGTTGCATTTCTGGCGAACTTGGCGAGTTGATGGAGTTTTGCCCGATCCTTGCAGTCTAATGAATAAACTCGACGATTTGAAGGGCAACTCGGCGATTTGGATCAATTTGGACCGCTGACTTTGACTTTTGATTTATGACTTTGAGCAAGTGTGTCCCAAGAGGTAATTGAGGTATTCTGAATAGTAATTAAGGGAAGTATGGGCTTAGGATAAGGCCCATATGGGATTGGGCCCAATTTGGAAAATTGGGCCATTAGTAGGCCTTTGTGGATCTTTTGGTTTTGGGCCTTCTTGGTTATTGAGGTTGGGTCTCAGTTTTGGTTCTTGCTTGGGTCAGGAGTAAAATGGTCATCTTACCCCAAGTATGGTCAATGGGCCTTGGAATGGAATCCAATTGTTTATTTGGTGACGTCAGGGCAGCAGTTAGGGAATTCTTTCAGGAAGCTTCTGCATTCGAGGTGAGTTTCCTTACCGAGTTTAGCGGGTCGAAGGCACTAATGTCGGCCCATGTTTATGTTATGCTGATAGAATGCTAGCTGTTTTTGTGACTCTTGCATGTACATGTGTTTATATGCTTTTGGACTAAGGTCCGATGTCGAGCGGAGCCCGATGACTATTTGTATGTTGTGTATATTGCATGTGTATGTGTTTATATGCTTTCCGAGCTCAGCTCGATGACCGGGCGGGGCCCACTATATGTTTATTGTATGTTTGGTATGTGGTATTTTGGGGGAACTCACTAAGCTTTGTGCTTACAGTTTTCAGTTTATGTTTCAGGTACTCCAGTTTTCAAATGAAAGAGCTCGGAACGATTGCATCGCATACACCCATGTTTTTCGCAATATGTGATCTTTGGGATTGGACTATGATAATTGTGTTAATTGAAATGCTTTTCAATGTTTAGAATAAAGTTACAATAATGTTTTGATTGTAATAAAAATGAAACTTTTACCTTGGATTTTTGGGCTGTTACAAACAGTGAGAAAATCCAAACCAACAATAGATACAAAAAGATGAAACTAACAATAACAGACGAACAGAGCAACCAAAACCTTCGAAATTGAACAACTAAAACCAAACAGAATGTTCAATTCACAAATAAAGCCAGAAATTAACCTGATAATCGTGCCTATTGCAACAGGGAAGAGGCGAGAAGGCTGAAAAGAAGGTCGACTTTGTGCGTTTTTTGATCGACGAGATCTTCTGCGATCGCAGAAGCCATCAGGTAAGGGGTTTATGCGATAGAGAGTAAGGGTATTCTTGTCCATTTAGTTATTTTTTTCAATCTTAATGATTTTAAATTGTAAAAAATGGTTATTAAATAGTAAAATCTATTTAAAAATTAGATTTGGGTAAATATGATATTTTAAAATATTAAGAAGGGCAAATATAATATTTAAAGTTTAGGTCGGGCAAATACGATATTTAAATGTTTAGCAGGGGTATATACGAAATTCTACCTAAATTATATATTACTAAACAATTATAAAAAATATATCAAAATTCATGGTTTTTAATTTCCTACAAAATGAGTATAATATTTAAAATAAAAATAAAAAAATAAAGGTAGTGAAAGGTAACAATTTCCTGTCTTTTGCTGAGTGAAATGAGAGTGAAGAGAAAACTGACGTGACACTCAAAAAGTGAAAGATAAAAGATGATCATATCCTATGGTGTTAGCTAAATGGCTAAGAAAATACTCATAACAAAATACTATTATTTAGGCTAACATTGTCCAGAAAAAGTTATTGGTGCAAACATTGGTTATGATCTTCTCTTTGGGTAAAATTATAGCAAAATTTCACTCATTATGCTGGAATGTTTGTTGCGGGTCAGACTGCTTTAAAAGTTGTTACAGACAAAATTGACAAAAATGAAAAATCGTGCATGGAAAATCAACACGTGTTCATACCATTTGTATTTGATACGTTTGGTTTGCTCGCGCCGGATGCGGTGAAACTTCTTAATAGAGTACAACGGATCATGCATAACAATGTTATATCCCCTAGATCTATAAATGTAGTCTTCAAAAGAATTATCTTTACCATATAAAAAAGGTTTAGCGACGCAGCTTGTTGCCCGTTTGTTATCTCACTCGTTATACGTTGATAGTTAAATTAATGAAATTTTTTAAAAAAAAACCTTTCCTTATTTTTGTTGTCTTGTCTTGATGTACTCTTTCTGTCTCGGCTGGCTTTGGCTAGTCTTAAGTAGTATAATGTATGTTTTCGCCGTCATTTTTTTTTTAAATAAGTAAAAACATATATAAGTTAAAGACGAAATTTAAACGAGAAGTGATTTTGTTTTAAATGAGAGGTTAGAGAAGTATTCTTTTATACGGGATAACGGAAATGAGTGATTTGTAATTTAAAATACATTGGAAAACCAAAATAAATATCGCAACACCATTTGCAATCATGACTTCGACCTGAAAAAAATATATGTATATAAAGTGACCATTCGGCGGAAAAGAGAAGAAAAAGGAAGCAGACGATTAAAGCAATCTCTCTCTCTCTCTCTCTCTCTCTCTCTCTCTCTCTCTCTCCTCGCGTTTATAGAGAGAGATAGGAAAGGATTCAAACATAGCGAGACAAAAGCGCAAAAGATCATATTGACAAATTCAAAAAGAATTCGTCTCTACTAGACTGCCGGCCTCTGGATTCGTGATTCCGAAGAAAAACTGCATCTCGTCATCATTCGCCGGAAAAACTTGAACAAACAAAAGTCCGGCGGTTACTGATTCCAGTAGTCAACCTGATTCATCGTCTCGTTTTTACAGCAGCTCAGGTTTGATTCATTAACTTTCCGTCTGAACTAATTAATAAAACTGCTGATGAAATGCATGTATGTATGTGTGTATTCATCTATTCACGATCACAATCACAAACTGGATCTGTTTGTTGTTTTTAATATCGAAACTCCACAGATCAATCCATTTACACATTGTGTTCTTCATAATGGTTATTCATTCTTCGGTTATTATTCATGATTCATGAATGTGATAACACATGTGTGTGTATGTTTTTGCGTGTTTATTTGCCTGTTAGTTAATCCGTTTCCTGTATCTGATTTGTGCATTATACTCCATTTCTGTTATGTGCATTAAGAATTTGTACAGTACAAGTTATCATTGCATATCAGGAGAATTAGTTAGCGTTATTTTAGAACAAGTTTTGACTCTTGAGTCCATTTGAATTAAACTTATCGTGGCTATCGGACATATTCTAACTACAATTTTTTATTATTTGTTTTTACGTTCTACAAAATCCAAACGAGAATTGTATACTTGTTCTGTTGCTTTTTTAAGGCTTTTTATCATAGTGGTAGTTGCTTTTAAGTTTTAATTTAATCAACAATATCAGATATGGAATTAGAGTCACCAACGAATTAACTTGCACAGACACGTCACATGTATATATGAGTTAATTAATTTTTGACATTGATTCGGTTCTTATCATCTATTTTGTTATTTATTCATGGAATCGAAAAACATGAAGATATATATGATCCTAATTTTCTTCTACTTGCATTAAAAAACAACGAATATATAACAACATGAGAAGGAATTTGTTCTTTTATCTTTAAAATAGATTAACATATATATCTCTGCACTATTCTCGTCCATACATATCTACCGATTCGTATCATAAGCATATATTGTATAAATCCTTGTATAACTTTGTCATAAAACTTTTAACCATATACTTTATGGTTTACATGTTATGATGTTAGCTAGTTGATATATACCAGTTACTAATAATTATTTAAGGTTATCAATATTATAGGAAAAAGAGTAAAATCAACAAACAATAGGAAAAAGAGTAAAATCAACAAACATCAATTATTTGTAATGATGAAAAAAAAGTAATTTATTTTACTTCAAATTTGTGATACAACATTAAAGAATTTTTTAGATAAAGTCCATGAATATTAATAATTTGTAATGATGATAGTAAATTACTAAACCATTTTTAACCTAACAGTTTGCAGTAGAAAACAAAACTTGCAACTTTTATAAATAAAAAAAAGTTCCAATACTTTGTAGAATAACATAACAAAATAATACATTATTGATAAATGTTTGAGGTTGGGGTCACAAGGAATCTATAGAGCAACGTTTGAAACTTGGAATGTAGAGATCCAAGCATAGTGGGAGTTGAAGATTGCATAGAAAGCTATGGAATGTCTGTTATTTGTGTGGGATTCAATAGAAACAGGAACGTAATTTTCATAGGCCCCATGAATAAGAGTCAATATTTGGATTTATCAATTTAGGAAAATAAATTTAAGGTGTTTATTTAACTTGGCATATATAAATTGTGTAATAGTTTGTTATATACTTTTATAAATAATCTTGTGAACTTAAATTCATACCATCAACTTTTTATAATGACAATAATTTTTAAAACATTGAGTTGAACATTTAATGTTTTTATCTGATATGTCGTATAACTAAATCAATATGGAATTACGTCTCATCGATTTCGTTATAAATTAAGATGGATGGAAACCCACAAAATAGGAAAAAAGGGAGCATATATATAAATGTTACGACCAAAGTTACAGAGAAATAAATCAATAACATGCGAGGTAATAAATTAAAGTTGTTTGGTGAATACCTTTATGATTATTAAACATTTGTAATAATAAGAATAATAATAATAAATTGGTAATAAACGCATGTAAGGTCAAATCATAACAGCATCTGACACACTTCTTTACTGATAGTTGTTGTCTTTGTAAACATTTTGGCATCCAAGTTTGACATCGCTGCATCACTCATAACGTTCTTGATACATCATGTTCTATTTCCAAAATAAGTGGGAAACCATAAAGTGGCTTTGTTGACTTTTCAGCTTTATCTTCAAGCATTCTTGTTTTAATTACTTGCTCCCATATCACAAACCACATAATTTAAATAAGCACGTTGTGTGGTTAGTATTTTAATCATCAATAAAATATTTATAATATTTAGAAAAGGGACTAAATAGGTACACCAACACCCCGATAGTTTTCAACCATAAAATGGTTTGGAAATTTTGCAACAAAACAAATAAAATATGGTTGTAGTTTTATTATATAGTTAAAAGTTCTAGATCTACAGTGGAAAATCACGCTTGACTTTATGTGGATCAATTGATTCACAGGTTATCCATGAGTTAATTAAGTAATAGCCATAGTCATAGATCTACATGCAGCTTCCGCCATCAATGAAATGGTGGCAAACCCATGTGCCACAAAGACGTTGCATGGTTTTTTAGGGAGTTTAATGAACGGTTAAATGGAAAATTAACAATATATTTTGGTTTGTTTGTTTATTATTACATAGTATTATATTTCAAAGAATCTACCAATTATAACAGCATACAAAGCAATATTCACAAGTATATAATTAGTTAGATTTTCAATATATTAATAGCACGATAAGGTTATTTATATTAGGATTTAGCCATTGAGGTGGTTTTTTCAAAGGTTGTTTTCGTTCTAAATGAAAATTCTATCGATCACTTACAAATTCAAAAAAAGTGTTTTTTTTTTCTTTTTTTTCTTTCAGTTAACCTCATGATTCAACAATATTTTACTTTCCTCCTTGGTTATAATTAAACTTCAAGGTTTTATTATGTTTTGACTAATCAATTTCTTTTATTAAATATTCTCTAATATTTCATTTTAAGCTCTAATACCAAATATCAAATTTGTAATATATATAGATATATATATATATATATATATATATATATATATATATATATATATATATATATATATATATATATATATATTCTTTTTTATAACTGTATGTAATAACTTTCTCATTTTTTATTTCCCGTAATATTTCTTTTCGGAAATATGTTCACTTAAAAATAACAAATTAGATGAACGAGCTTTATAAGTTTTTTCACATAATGATAAATTATTTAATTTTAAAAAAAAATGGCAACCAATAGAGAAAATTTATGAAAATACGGTTTTTTCAAATAAAGTTAATGGAATGTTGTACATTGTGACAAAAATGATAAATAATTGTCACGTTAACCATTGCGTATGCTTTAATAAAAAAAAAATTAAAAGTACAAAAAATACTATAATTTTGTAGATTTTCTATAGTTTAATTCATCAAATAATGATACAATAATTACCTCATGGTGTGTCCAGTCTCTAGGCACATTAACACTGTTTCAGGAATTATAAAGTGCACCAAGTACAATTTGATTCCATCCACCAGCCATATATAATTCCTTGCCATGTGCATGTTAAAAACACCATAATTCAAAGCTTGAAATTCTAATCCACTTATTTGTCATTTTTTACATTTCTTCAGTAGATATACACCAATCCATTTCACAAAATTAACAAGTTTAATTATAGATTGCAGATGAGAAGAGAGCTGGTGGAATAAATTCCACTAGCTCTCTCTAAAAAATGTCACAAAATATGACCATATCGAAACTTGAAGCTGGGATGGATGCATCTAATGATAACAATAATCCATATGCGAAGCTTTTGAAGGGTTCTTGGATAGCTCAGTTCCTATATGGATCAAATCCATGGATGGCTAGATATGTTTATAGTGTGATGTTTTTATTAGCAAATTTGCTTGCTTGGGCTGTTCGTGACTATGGGCCCACTGCGTTGACTGAAATGAACAGTAAGATTGAATCGTATATATATAATTCCATTTTTATTATTTCTTGGAATATATTTTAATTGTTTCATGCCTAGATTATAAAGTCTCGTAATCTCATTTGTTGTAGAATTGAAAAGTTGCAAAGGTGGTGACGATTGTTTAGGCACCGAAGGCGTTCTGAGAGTCAGCTTCGGATGTTTTGTATCCTTTCCTTAGAAAAAAATATTGACCTTTATTTTAGAGGGAAATCTACAAAAAAAGTTTCAAAAGGCTTAAAAAAAATTTTGAACAGAAAAGTCCCGATTATTTAACATTTTGCCAAAATTAACGAAAAAGTCGTTTTTTATATTTGAACAGCAAATGACAGATTATATGATTTTTCTCAAAATAATGAGATTCTTCTGAAGAAAAAAAATTATGATTTTTTTTAAAACTTTTCCCAAAAGTTTAAGACTTTTATGTAGATTTTTCTATTTTAGAAATATGCAAAAAGTAAAATAATTGCAAAAATGACCAATAGTTCGAATCTCAACAAGAGTCCCAATGTTGGAGTTTTTCTTTCCCATTTGGTTTGGGTTCCTTGTGGAAACGGGCTCTTATTATGTCAGGCACCTATGTTGGGAAAATGGTCTCAAGGATGCTCGAACAACTTTCTTAATGAAAAATATCACAAACGCCTATATTTTTGGAAAACTCCAAAATCAGTGAAAAACCATCGGTTTCTGAAGAAAATGTAAAATTATTACAATCACATAGACTAATTCCTCAAGCCGAGTGGTGGCAAGAGAAAAACCTTAAGGAGCTGTTATGGTATGCTCTTAGGTAGAGTGGTGGCAAACTTTTTTTTTTTTTTTTAAATGGAACAAATAGATAAATACGACATGAAGTTTTCTTGGAAGCTTTTGAGAATACCTTAATGATATATTAGATGTTCTATTTCACTATGTTTCTTTCAACTACTGGCACCTCAAAATTGTATGGACGAAAAGAATTGTGGCATTCTAGTTGGTGGTCGGCCAAGATCGTTCTCATGATCGCGTTAATGATGCTGCCTTTCTTTCTTCCTACACAAATTATTCAGTTATATGGTTAGTATTGTTCACTAAATAATTAATATAATTAAACAATATAAAAGATAAGAAACATTCTGATACATTTTTTTTTTCTTTCGCAGGGGACATTGCACATTTTGGTGCAGGGTATTTAAATCTCCTACCTACATCTTAATCTCTCTACCTAAAAGAAATCTTAAAGAGTCATTGTTTATGACATTTTGCAGGGTCTTTTTGCTAATTCAACTAATTAGTATTATCAGCTTCATTACATGGTTGAATGAATGTTGTCTATCCGAAAAATATGCCGAGAGATGGTAATTGCCTTTTAGTTGATTTACATATTATTAGAAAAAATGGGTTAAATATAAACAAATAAAAGTGCGTTGTAATGATAACGATGTTTTGCTGTAGCCACATCCACTGGATGCTTCTTGCAACTACTGCATATGTTGTGTGCATATTGGGGATCATTTTAATGTACATTTGGTACACACCACAACCCACTTGCTTGCTTAATATTTTCTTCATCACATGGACACTTGTACTCCTTCAACTTATGACAAGTGTCTCCCTTCACCCCAAAGTAAGGATCTCATTTCTTTTCTTTTACTTTTCATCAAGTATTGTACAAATGTTATATATGAACAAAGACTTTGTTTTTTAACCGAATAAGATCATATGACCATTTTATTCATCTATTTGAAAACTAATTTTTTTTGTTCAATTTCTGAAACAGGTTAGTGCTGGTTTCTTGACTCCAGGTTTTATGGGACTCTATGTTGTGTTCCTTTGTTGGTCTGCCATTAGAAGGTAAAGTTTTCTCTTTTCATTTTTGACCTTATTTTTACAAATTTTAACCAATTTTTGATGTCTACAGTGAACCAATGGATGACAAATGTCTCAGGAATTCTGGAGCCTCTAGAGACTGGCTAACTATCATAGTAAGCTTCCCAAAACCACTATATTTTCAAACTTGTTTCTTATTAAGGCATTGTATTTAACATTGCCAGTGATGTTGATAACATTGTAAATCTTTGAAATTCATCTCTTATTGTAACAGAGCTTTGTTATTGCACTAATTGCAATGGTGATTGCTACGTTTTCAACAGGCATTGATTCCAAATGTTTTCAGGTAAAACATAATTCTAAAACATTATGTCAATAAATCTTCACTCATTTTGTACGAAAATTCATTTGAAGATTATGTCATGCAGTTTTCGAAAGGAGGAGAAACAAGAGGAAGATGATGTTCCTTATGGGTTTGGATTCTTCCATTTTGTTTTTGCAACAGGAACAATGTATTTTGCAATGTTATTAATCGGTTGGAATTCTCATCACACAATGCAAAAGTAAGTTTCCACCATTCAACATCTTCAATCCAATACAAATGTTGATTTACCTAAATGCCCACTTCACAGGTGGACAATTGATGTTGGTTGGACGAGTACTTGGGTCAGAATAGTAAATGAATGGCTAGCAGTCTGTGTCTACTGTAAGTATCTCAAACACCCCTAAAATGAAATTTATAGTTATCAAATTAACTTTTTCTTTTTGTTTTTTAGTGTGGATGTTGGTAGCTCCGATCATATGGAAGAGTAGACAGGTGGAGGAACCCAAATAGCAAATCAAAATAGGATGCGATAATACTCAAGAAAACCTCTTCACCATGTATGTTGCAAAATTTACATACAATTGAATGATATAGAAGCGGAAGAGGGTAGAAACTATAAAGTTACATTGAAGAAAGAAAAGAATGACATCCATGGAGACGATGTGAAGTCCTTGCATGTTTATTCTACTCTCACTTATTTTTTATATATGTAATCTTAGTTAGAAAGAAGCAAAGCATAGGTGGAAGTTACAAAAAGGCACTCAGTTTTGTACATTTTGAGTTGAGTTGTCTCTCGTTTATAATCACATCATTTTTCCACTCAAATAAGATCACCAAGGAAAATGTTGCCTTAGTCCCCATTAGTGTAATAATTTCTTTTCATTTTCCTACTTTATAAATAGGGCTGCAAGAGAATCGACAGGAGTGTAAACCAGATTTATTATTAATCAAACCATGATTCATGTAGATGATATATCAACAACACTAGCAATCTACAATGTTAAAAGATTTACAACTCTCCCTCTTGAGGAATCAATAAACGCAACAAACTTTTATTTTTCTACAATAAACATAATATACAACACGAATTTTGACCCAAAGATTTAGGATCAAGTAGCATACCGGTCTCATTAGATATTCTAATTTAACCAAAAGGTTTTCCTCCAATTTGTTGTTGATTATGATTAAAAGAGTTGTTATCCAATCCAAACTACCTACTTGTGGCTTGTAAAGGACGTGAAAATTTTAAACTTTGTATGAGGAAGAGAGATAAATCTTGGAAATTACCTGGGTTAAGTTGGCATGTTAGGGAGAGATTGATAATGGATGATATGATTTAGTGGGCATCTATGGTGGTGAAGGAGTACCTAGGCTTGAGGTATGTAACACCCGTAAATTCGGGCTAGGAAATAAAGTTATTATAAGCCATAATAATGACTTTTAAATAAGAGATTGTTTAGGATAAATAATCTTAACCGAGTTATAGTATATGTCGTATATAGTGAGTTGGAGATAGGTTACTTATTAGCCCTACTGATCTAAACGAAAGTCGTAATATTAGGAAAAAACGAATTTGTGCATACAGGGAACGTCCGAATCTGACTTCAATAGGGAAAGCTATGATGTTTCTAAGATTTCAGCATAGCAGTGTGTGCACATAAATCGAGTTTTAGATCGGTTGATTTTTGGCCAAAACAATCTAAACGAGAATTGAAGGTCTCGTTAATAGGATTCCAAACATATAAGAACTATCGAAAACGGAAGCCGGATGTGGGAGATATGCATTTTATACGGGCTTTAATAGGCTAAGCCTGTGTAAATAAAATAAAGTCAAAACTAGCTGACAGAGTCTAAAAGAAAGTTGTAGATCTCGTCGAGAGCTTTCCGTGGATATAAAGAACGTCAAACACGAAGCTCGTATGAAGGAGATACATAATTTCTAAATTCTAAAAATCGGCACGCCCAACGCAACGCGTGTAGCTTGCGCGCGAAGTCAACTACGTTGCTCCAGCCGACGAGTGACACGTGTCAACTAACCGATGGATCAACGTGTTTGAAGTGCGCGGCGTGCATATGCGTTTTTTGGCCCTATAAATAGCCAACAATCCTTCATTCAAAAAAGTACTTTGTACTGTCATGCCTGGATTATACAAAAAGTACTAATGTACTGTTGTGTTGTCGCGAGTATTATTGTACCGTCGTGCCTAATCACCTAGGAATTATAGTTGTCCGCTGATAAAGATACTTTAGGAAAGATCCTTCAAGATCATCATAATAGGATTAGTAAGTGAGAGTGATGGAAAATGGGGTAATTGGGTTATTTGAATGTTGATGGTTATATAATTAGAAATTATAATATTATGGGTTGAAAACCCTATGTATCTCACTAGGTGTCCCAACCTGACCCACTCAGCATCTTTGTATTACAGGAAACAATAATGATGATGCCTGAGAAATTTGAGGAAATATTAAGATATTGTAAGTCTTCATTTATACTTATGTTTCTTGTATCAGTTATGACATCTCGAGTTTTTAATAAATTAATGAAAAACATCCATTCGAAAATATTTTATGGGACAAATTCTGCATTTGTAAATTAAAACTCTGATTTTAAAATGAGCATAAACTGGTCTTTTATGGCCGTGAAAATGAGGATGTCAAAAGATACGTTGTATGCTTGAAGATTAGGTTGGTATCCATGTTGGTGAAAATGTACCAAGGCTTGACTTGAGGTACATGTATGCACAGTCGATTCAAGATGATTTAAGGCCCCGAACAAAATAAAAAAATAAGGCCCTTTTTTGCCGCTTCGGATGAAGGTGAGTGGCAAAGTCTGGTTCAACTAAGGAGTAGGTCGTCCTATCTGATGAGCGGGTAATGCTCAAATTATTTTTTTCGTATTTGGGGTTGACGCCGAGAAAGACTAAAGACGGGAGAGCACGCACAGACATCCTCGGGAAAGCACTAATGAACTACGCCATCCCTGACACTTATGCGGTGAGATACCAACCAGCCGATATCGCCCACAAAGCTAAGAGGCCACTGGCACCGAATAATACCCATAAAGAACGCTAACCGCTACCGGCATCTGATGCCATCCGATAAGGAAGAACTCTTTCGGCAAAGAATTTTACCAAAAAGCCCGATTCGAATCATTATGCTCGATAAAAGCGATGACTTAATACCAAAAAGTTTTTTTTTTAATAATATAAGTAGATATATAAAAAAATAAGCCCTAGAAATTTGGAGGCCTGGACCATCGCCCATGTTGCCCTACCCTCTAATATGGCCCATGTTCCTCTACCCTCTAATGTGGCCCTCCGTGTATGCCCAATGGAAGTGCCTGTAAATGTTTCTTAAAACCCCTTGCAATGGTGCCATTAAACACACCGTTAGGCTATATGGCAAATATGCTCATTCATGCAAAAAAAAAAAAAAAAAAAAATCATATTTTTCCGAACTTATATGACAAATTGGAAGAAATGTGGTTGTATTGTATAATTCGTTTCGTTGCATGCATAAATGAGCATTTATGGAATGAAATGCGGTTGCATATTATGTTCCTACAATGAGACATAGTTAGCATATTTCGTCCGAAAATACATTTTGTTGCATAAATTGAGAAACAGTTAAGCAAATACATGGACGAGAAGTTGTGACTTATCTTAAATATTTGAATCGAACTGTTTTAAACAATTTTAATGCTTTGGGCAAAAAAATAGGTATAAATCAAAATTTCTAAAGCGCATATTTTATATTTTAATAGGTCAAATACCTAATTCATTTAAAGTATAATCCAATAAAAATTAGTCCAATATGAGTTAAAGATAAAAAAAAAATAATAAAAAAAGGGGTTTTCACCACGTCGTTTCTTCTCCCGCTTCATATAGGACGGACATACGACCAGACTTGCAAGAACCACAATTGCCGGAACCATAATCAGTATTTTTTGATTTTTTTTATTTACTATTAGTTTCATTTAAATATTGAACCATTAGAATCACCTCCGAATAAATATACTTGAACCGACGATGATTCATAGGCATCAAATGGATATGAAGGTTGCAAGTAAGTCGTTGGTGACATGTTTTGTAACAATATTACAATAACATCAATAATCAAATCGACATCTCAAACATAAGTATTTCTATAGGTTTTCATCGCACCAGTGGAATATTAAATTGATTCTCTCTTTTTTTTCATCTTTTTTTTTTCGTTGTTGTAAATATAGGCTTCTTTTTTTTAAAGGTTTTGTAGAAATAGTTTGATAATATGTTGTAGAGATTTCTACGATTTAATCCGAAAATAAAAAAATATATTTTCATTTATAATCCCTTGTATGTTACGAATTTAATCCTTCAACTCTCAATCATTATTATATATTATATATAGATTAATTTATTTTAAAATATATAATTACAATTTATATATTATTCTTAACAAATTATACTATTAAATAGATAAATACTTTCAAATTTACTCCAATATCAAATATATTACAACGTCCAAAATTACAAGATTGATTAAAAACGATATTGCAATACGAGTTAAGCGCAAACTTACAATATAAATAAAACCCTAAATTACAAAATTAATTAAAAATGTTAGAGAGATCACATCGTACTGAATATTAGTTTAGAATTTGGATAATTTTTTTATTGTGACAGTGTTGGTGGCATAGTCCACATCTGCAAGGTTTCGTCGGGATAAAAATATAAATCTCATTACAAAATCGATTTGCACGCCTCCGACCTTGATGAACAGAAAGTTCTGAATTATCTTTTTGAATTTTCTAATTAGACTTCAACCAATAATCAAAATGAGAAAGTGAGGCAAAAGCAAACGTATATTGACGTTCATACATCATAGTAGTGTACATACTATTAACAACAGAAAGAGGGTCATCCCCTTTATAGCGGTAAACCGCAATAGCATGCGAACATGGAATTTTTCCCATTTGTCACTTACCGCATGTACATGCAGGGGCAGAGACAATGAGGGGGCTGCCGGGTGCTCTGTCCCCTCCAATCTCTTTTATAACTTCAATTATAATATATATATATATATAATACTCCATGTAGTAATCTTTTAGCCGACTTCTTTGTTAGAGCCCCTCCCAATCAATGTTAAAAATTCAATTATTATTATATGGAAAAATAATAAACCCATGACAATTATGAAAAGAACTGAGGCCTCGTTGGCTAAAATCTCACCACATCAACTCCCACTTATTTTAATTTGCCAATATATTATCCCATTTATTTTTATTAGTCTTCATAAATAGATCTTGTAATTGACAATTAGTTGATATATTTGTTGGACCTTTTTATTGTATTTTTCATCAATGAGGTTTCAATTAAAAAAAAATGTCTCGCTTATTTTAATTTGTCTATATATTACACCATTTATTTTTATTCGTGTTCATAAATAGCTCTTGTAATAGTTGATATATTCGTTGGGTCTTGTAACGGGCAAATTAAAGTTGAACCTGAAAAAATAATATGTCAAATTGAAGAGAGGTATATTAGATTCTTTTGTTCGTGATCCCGAGGAACAGACTTCAATTTTAAGCTATTGATGTTCTTATTTAGACGATTTTTTCTTTATGAGTTTTTTATTCAACTTTACAGAGCGTATTATATTATTTGGATATAAAAAATAATTTAATATTCTTATTACAATATAAGCCCCCTCATTCTAAAGTCCTGGCTCCGCCCCTGTGTACATTGTTGAAAATAATGGACAAAGTGTTTATTTCCTCCGGGGCAATTTATCTGTAACTTTGAGACAATTCTATAAACACGTTCATTTTAGT